CCCCCGCCCCCCCCCCCCCGCGACCAGCCAAGAGGATGTCACCAGGCATGGCTGCTGGAAGCACGTGCCGAGGAGGTGGTTGGCAGTGGCCAGCTGAGTGAATTGGAGGCCAATGCCTGGGACAGCACAAGGCTTGCGCATGCTGTCACAACACAGAAGTCGCAGGCGAGCCACTGATGGGCAGCAGCCACATTTTCCCACCCTTAAAAAGCGTTGAGGATCCCTGCCTGCATCCCTGGGTCTTCACAATGCTGTCATTTAACCCACACCTCTATTTTTTGTGTTTCTCCCAGTTTTGGTCCCAGAAAGCTCTCCCCTGTGCCTCTCTAGCCTCTTCCTCTTTCCCCCTCTGCATGGCTGTGACCCAGCGGGTTGATTCTCACCCTCAGCCAGCTCCCACAGCGCTTGGGTCTCCCTGCTCGGCCCCGGGCCATCCACCCACCCCTGCCCCTGCTTTGTAGTCCTCTCCCTTTGCTGTTTGCCAACACCTCCATCTCCCGGACACAGCGCACACAACATGTAACTAAACATCTTTTTCTTTTTTTCTTTTTTCCTGACTACAAACTGTTATTGTATTCCTGACTACAAGCTGTTATTGACAGCTCATTACTTCAGTGAAACCCAGCATGCAGATGGCCATTGCCAAGACTTATCCAACACATGATGCTAGCAGAAGTGGACTTGAAATAGACAAGGCCAGTAGTTACAGTCCCCCTTCTCACCTCTCCAGCCTCTTCTTTCTGAGACACTTGATCTGTATCCCTTTCCCTGCACCGTTCCCCCCTCATTTCACCTCCCTTCACATCAGTTAATTTCTGATTTCTTTGTCCTGTCTCAGTGCTGAAGTAAGGACCAAAAACATGTGTTGGAATGTCCTGAGACTAGTGAGTTTGCTACATGGCTAGGAAAACGCAGCTAGCTTACAGTATGGACGTTTCCAACGTTCTGCCTCAATTTTCCCATTAGTTTCATCTGGATGTTTCAGTCCCCTATACTCTTCCATAGCATCTCCGAACACTGTTACACACTTTGCGTGTCATTCAGAATGTTGCTCCACTTCACCTGCGAGTGAAGCAATCCATGTGCAGAGATACTACCAGTATGCTGGAGGTGGGGTGAAACCAGCTGGGTGTCAGGGACTTCACTGAGGACAAATACCAAAACTCACCAATGTGGAGGACTTCCCAGCTTCATGACCTTTACTGGAAAATCCTGAGTGACATAGTGCAGGCATGAAAAAATAGCCATATAATGGCTTTGCAAGCAAGATCAGGCTTGGGTAGAAGCACGATGATGCCTTGTCCAAAAAGTAGGGGCATCAAGGGAGGGAGACTGACTGTAAACACCGACACAGGTGGGAGAACCAAGAACTGGTTGTTCAAAGCAATGAAAGCACTCAGACAACTCACAAGGCACATGTGCCAAGGCTTCTGGTTCATCCACCAAAGCACCAGGCTGCTGGGGGCAGACTCCCTTTCAGTTGAGAGGTCTTAAACAAAAAATCTGATCCAAACAATCTGCCTAATTAGGAAGCCATCTAGGAAACTAGGACCACACCAGACTGCTTAAGTGCAAGGAAAAGAAAAAAAAGAGATACCCAGTGAAGGATGTGCAGCAATGGTCCTGAGAAAAATTAGAGACTGACTATACTTTTGGTGGAAACCATTACAGGCTTGGAGCCATCAGCAGGGAAATCCTATCCTGACGCTTGATCCTGACAGTGGCCAGGACAACAAGGCTTTGCACGTAGTAATACAACATAATACAAAATAGACAGGCTTGCTTAAAAAAAAAAAAAGTGATGCATCATTTGATCAGCGAGAATGGCTGCGGTATACTTCTGGTATCAGATGGTAGGATACAGCCACGTTTTCAGGGAGCTCTTAAACCTGCTGGGCCCTGGCAGAGCTTTATTCTACGGCACGGTGTATGAAACTACCGTAAGGCGGGCTGCGTGGACCGTGGAGGAGTTCACGGACAAACACGGTTCCTTCGGAGCACAGTAAAAGGAAACTCGAGCGTGGGTCGGGAGAGCAACCCACAAAGTATGCCTGGCAACCCCCCCGGCAGCATGCACATGCGGCACGTTTTATCGTCATTAAACCTCAGTCTCACTCGCGGCCCGTTCGCCTGTGCCCCGGCACCCCCCCGCCCCAGCGCAACACCAGCAGGTTCACGCTGCGAACGGCCGCAGCTCACCCTCCGGGGAAAAGCCCTTCTCTAAGGAGCGACATGGAGTAACACCACGAAGCCTCCCTTCGCATCGGCCACCCAAGGCAGGCCCCGCGGGGGACAGCCGCCACCCGCACCTGACGATAGACACACCGGCCCTGGGTACCTCAGGCAGAAAATGGCGGACACCGCAGCCTGGCGCCGGCCCCGCCCTGAGAGGAGGGAAGGCTCCCACCCTTCCCTGTCCTTCCGTGCTGTGCGGTGCCCTGCCCTTCCCCACCCTCCCCTTCCTTTCCCTCCCCTCCCCTTCCCTCTCCTCCCCTTCCCTTCCTTTCCTTTTCCTCCCCTCCACTTCCCTCCCCTCCCTTTCCTTCTCCTTCCTTTCCCTTCCTTTCTCTCCCTTTCCCTCCCTTCCCCTCCCCTCCCCTCCCCTTCCTTTTCTTTCCCTCTCCTCTCACTGCTGATTATTTCTTCCTTAAATCAGCCAGATCAGAGGATTTACTGACCTCCATTTGAGCAAGACGCATGATGGCTTGAGGTTTGAGTCTTGCCAGCTTGACTTTGGTGCCATTTATGCTTATTCACTGATCACCTTTCTGTCTAGAAAAAAAAATATTCTGCAGCCCAGCAGAAACACAGCATCACAAACAGTGGCAGATATTGATTTCATCCAGGCACAGCCTAACATTTTAAAAGCTAGAGGTGCTCTTCAAAAATAAAAGCTTGCCCTGAGTTACCATCATACCTTTTGTAACAGGCATGCATTTCCAGGATGCAAAATAACCCAGGTTGCTCTTGTGCACTAGCTGACAACATATCACAGTATCTGTGAGTAGCAACAGAGGAAACTGTGATTTCTTGGCTGCTCCCAAATTCAGTCTTTTTTCAAATAAAGATCCCAAGTCCACCATTTATATTTTACATGACACTGGCTTCAGTGCACTCAGGTGCTGGCCACACTTCTCTTGATGCAGCCCAGGGTATGGTTGGGCCGCTTGGCGCGCC